GAAACCCTGTCCAGGGTCGCTCTGAGTCGGAACCGACTCCACGGCACCTAACCAACCACCCAGCCCAAGAAAGAAACGACGGTATCAGTTGCTCTCTCTAAACCAGGAGCATGTACCTAGATTCTATTTCTAATATGTGTTTCTTTCTTTCCTTTCCACTGAAACAGTTTATTTGTATGTATTACATCTTTATTTGTATGTATTACATCTTTAGAAGAAGAATTTCAGGATTTTCCCTTCTGTGTGCTGTCGTCTTCCTGCCTTGTGGTTCATGATGCCAGCTGAGGTTGTCAGGACGATGTAAACCTGACAGGCAGGAGCAGAGGAATCCACCACCACTTTTCTAGGTCTTGAGCTGCATGTCAAATCGAGGGCTAATCAAACCACATTGTTTCAACCTGCCTGTAAGGGTCACAATAATTTTCCCAGCTTTCTCATGATCAAAGATTTCAAATTTGCTGCTGTAGCCATGCTTCATCATCACAGTCAGAACTTTGAAGCCCAGTCAGATGAGAAAGTGGTGTTTACCTCTCTTCTTGGTATCACTGAGGCTCTTAAGAGCATCGACCAAGATGTTTATGCACACCATGATGGCGGCAAGGGAAAATGGAGTCGAAAGACCTACAGGTGTTTTGAAAGCACCTAACTAATCCAATCAGGACAACACAATATAGGCATCCTGAAATTCAGTGGCAAGCATAAATTCTTATACTTGTGGTTGAACTGGCTTAGAACAAAATATACTTATTTCAAATCACTGTAGTTCAAAAGTATCATTCTTAAAAGCCGAAAACATTGTAAGCTGGGCCTATAAACAATCTGACACAAATAATAGTTAAAAAAAGAAAATTTTTACCAAGTGGGGGGTAAAAACAAACAAAACCTGACATCCCCCCCCCCCAAAAAAAAACTTTATTTACGAAGCCTTTCACATTAAAGAAAGAACAATGAAGTCTAGCACATTCATAAATAAACCTGGAATGTAAAGTTCCTTTGTGGTAATAATATGAGGGGTCTTCGAAAACTTCATGGAAAACTGGAATTTAAAGATAATGGAACTTTCACATGAACTCTGTGAAATGCCCTGTATAAATAACTAAAATATGTCCATTCTTAAAATATGAAACTCCTCGCTTAACTTGTTCATTAATAACTAGGTGCTCAAAGGATTCTGAAAAAACTGCATGCATTCTCAATTTGGAGTAACGAATTTGTGTAACTCTTGAGGTACATAAAATATATACGAACCATACACACAATCCCATTTAAACTGAATCATTTCCCCAAAATAGTTGTCTATACTTACACTTTCTAAAACTCGTAAACATCTCTCTGCTCCCCATAATGAGGCTACTAGTTTCTCTTCATCCTCGTCTCCACTTAGATGATCCACACATTCTTTTACTAGGAAAAAAGAAATTGGTCTAAAGTAGTGTATGTCTCTCATTACATCAACACTTACCACATAACGTTTATACATGTTCTAAATACACTGGAGCGTTAGTCTAAGTTTTATACTATGAAATATTAAAATGCCCGATATCAAAGTGTTTAATGGACTTGTCTTACAGAATGTTACTAGCGTTTTCCAAATTATATGTTTATTTTTTGAAGCATATAGACAGTACACTTTCCTTGGCTTAATTAATGCATTAAAAGGTTATGCATGTTTGTAACATACCTTTATCTACAATATGATCCAAACCACCTAGGAGCCGTAGTTCTTCTTTAAACCAGTCTCCTGCTCGTTTAGAAGTAAGGGACAATAACGTCTCCATCGCTAAATGCCCAGTCTAAAATTCAGAAGCACCATTAGTAAACACTGACTCTAAATAATTCGGAGGGAACATTTCTAATGACTGTGTTTCTTTATAAAAATTCAATGCATGCTACCAGGCATTTTTTCACAGTGCAGTATTAAGTTGTTAAGTGCCATGAAGTAGGTTTCTGACTCTTAACAACGCTGGACACGGTTACCAAGGAATGGCTGATGGGTTTGAACCACTGACCTTGCAGTTAGCAGCGGTGCTTATCCTATATCATCACACTAGGACTAAATTTAATTTTATCAGAATTGTTTAGGTTACAGAAATACTTTTAGTTACATGATTTTTTATAGAAAACTTACTACTAAGAAATAGTTCATTATTTGCCAATTCAATATATACATAGGAGTTCTGGTTAACATACTGGTTTCGAATTGGGCTGCTAACCTCAAGGTCGGCAGTTTGAAACTACCAAATGTTCTGTGGGAGAAAGATGAGGCTTTCTGCTCCCGTAAAGATTTGCAGCCTCGGAAACCCTGTGCAGGGACACTAAGAGACGGAACCGACTCCGAGGCACCTAACACCACCACCACCACTGTGGGACAAAGCACGGGATTGAAAGGTCGTTTTAAATCACAAGGTTGGCAGTTCAAACTCACCAGCCACTCCTTGGGTTTGGATGAGTTGGAACCGACTTTGACAGCACTGAACAACAATTTGTTCTCTTCAGTACAAAGGCTCAAAAATAAAACTATGAGTAAAAGTGCATAAATATTTTAAATGTAAATCAAAAGATTAATTTCACACAAAGGCTGTAAACCGAGAACACTCCTTGGAACAAAATTAGGGCCAACTGCCCTGAATCCCACAAAGCACAAGTTATTTTAAATTTTGTCTATGCGAGTGTAGAAAATATTATTTTATTGCTTTGCTCACTGCAATAAACTTGAGCATTTCCCACATAATTATTAGTAATTTGTATTTGTTCTACTACTAGTTTTCTGTTCATGATTCCTTCCCCTTTTTTTGTTTTGGTTCAGGAAGTCTGTTTGTCTTTGTTTATAGATCTTCTGAACTATTTTGAATTCACAAATCCTCTGTTCTCTCTAGTGCTGCAGATTGATTCAGAGTTTGAAGACTTCTACTACAGCACCAGCGGCATGAGGCCACAGGAGGAGTTGGGAGCACAGAAGACTATGTAAATGAAGAGCATGGAATAACATTTATAACCAGATGAAAGCCTTCTTTTTTCTCTATTTCCTTTAACTCCTGCTTGTGTTTTTTAGAACAAATAACCAAGCCGTCATGCACAGTAATCTGGTTCCTGTTGTAATAAAGGAACTTCACCATAAGAAAAGAAAGGTTTAAATGAGTAGAGACTGGTAAGACCTGGTCCTCGTTTCCCTTAAAACGATATAAGTTTACATTAAGTCATATTGGTCTATTGGAAAGTATATTTCTAAATCCAAGCAGCACATCTTGTTAAACAGAATCTTAGCTTTATAGATTTAGAAGCCATCTAGAAGACGCTACTCTTATGGTCAGTTTAAACCGCAAGGTCGTCAGTTCAAGCTCATCAGCCACTCCTTGGAAATCCTATACAGGGCTGCTATGGGTCGGAGCCAACTTGATGGCACTTAACAACAGTAACAACACAGGTTTTCTGGATAGTCACTGATGGTTTTGAAGAAATTAATGAAACACGAACAAGGATTAATGTGTTAAGATATAGTCATCGTGTAAGACAACGTCTATCAAATCATTTCAACCAAACACAACATTTAAGAATAAAAACAGGTATCTTAAAACTGGCAACTATATTCTGATTTTAATCATATGAGTAAATTAATGTAATATTAAGACAGTCATATTGGTATCTGCCATCAATAGATACATGAATTTAATGCATAAGTTTAACATGAAAGTATAATCATTTAGTTAGAAGGAAATAAAATTATACTCAGTTTTACTCTATTATAAACGTCAAAAACTGGTCTATTTTTAAAACAAGTTAAGAGTAAATAAAAATTACTCACATACTTCTAAAGATGACATACAGATAGTCTGGTTATGGTAAGGTGCTACCATTAGAGCCGTAACAGCTATTTGAGCACTTTTAGAAGTACTGACTGCATGTTATTTTACATCTTGCCTTTAAAGCTTACTTTCTCCCGCCCACTCTACAGAACTAGGTAGCTTCACAAGATAAACACAGGACTACAATCCACAAGGGCAGTACTGTGAGAACACCAGCCGGTCTACAGGAGAAAGATGATGCTTACTGCTTCTGCAAAGATTTTAAAAGCCTCAGAAACTCTGTAAAAGTTTGCTGTGAATAGGCGCCCTGGTATAACGCTGTAAGATAAGCAATGAACTGGTAACTACAAAGTCGCCAATTCAAACCCAACAGCTGCTCTTAGAAACCCTATACAGGGTTGCTGTGAGTCAGAACAAGACACGGCACACACCCAACACCCTACCCTACCCTAACTAAGTAAAGCAATCCTCCTAAGTCAGTATCTTGGCAGCATAAAGCAGTCTACAAAGTTTCAAGACAAATTCTGCAGTAGAAAACAGAAAGCAATAGAAAAACAATTTTATAAGCTATTTATGTTGAAAATTTCTGAAAATGAGGCATTAAGTAATAAATAATGTTATTTTTCAAAACTGCAGGCCAATTATCTTGTAACCAACTAGCACTCCAAGAAACCCAGGAAAAAGCAGAGCGGGATCAAGCAAAAGCAGCATGGCCATGAGGAGGTGTCAAGGTTTGTGGAAAATAGAATGAAAAGGTAACAGAATTTTCCCACCAACTGTCTGAAGCCCATTTGAATGGGGAGCACAAGCTATAAGGATACTACTGGCCATGGCTCCAATTATGAGGGACACGGTTCTGGGGAAGGTAGATGTCTGGCAGTCTACCAACTGAGTCTACTCAATTCTTCAGGTCCCCTAAAGCACTAAGAGACCCTGGAATAAGTCACAGCTCAATAAAAAGAGCCTTTGCAAGTCCTCTAAATCTTTTCTGAAGCCTACAGAGAACAAATACTTAAATTCTTAGTGGCCTAAACTTAGTTTTCATATTAAAAGAAAAAGTTTAGGAAAAAGTGCAATAGAAAATCTACAGGCAACAAATCTAAATACAGATGAGTTAATTGAAGGATTTCAGTCAGAGAATGGAATTATGCTCAACACTAAACCTTAAAAGCATTTGTCGACTTGCAAAGCAAGGCTCATAAAGGTTCAATGATTCGTCCAAGTAACAGAAGTGAACGATGAACATCAAACACCTTTCTGAAAGTATTTCTCACTTTAGAATGGAAGGCACTCACCGTTATATTTTCTAGATCAAGATGCTTGTTGTGTACAGTTTCACAGAGTCTTCGGATTTTTTCTTTAATTTTGTTCATGTCTTTTTCATTCAGTAGCTTAGATGATGAAGCATCTTGTTCAAGTTCCAAAAGTCGAATCATTAGATCTAGGCTAGCTCTATCAAGATCCATGTTCAAACGATCTCTGCTCAATATATACATGAGGGCAGCTGTACAAAGGGACAGATTCTTAAACAGATTAAAGAAAAAAAAAGTTCATAAAGGCAATTAGGGACAATGTCATAGAAATTGTTTTAAGATTGTTCACTGTCAAAATTTTAGTGGTAACAAATGCCTAAACTTGTACTGCTGACCATGTTAAAATACTTCAAAATCTTTTATTCAGCAACACTCCTGCCTTAAATATTCTAGGGAAATGTATTTATAAAATAAAGTACTATTGCTTAAAATTTTCTTTCTACAATCCTTCCCTAAATGAACACCCCAAAGATGGAAGAATACAAGCTGAATTATATACGTCTTTGGTCATTCTGTGCAAAAGTTTACAGAACATTTTTTCCCCAGCTATATATATATATAAACCCTACTATAATATATTTCATACCTTTTTCCTTATTATATAGTAGATATTATCAAATTTCAATTTAAAATTAATAACATAAACTTGTTCTGACATCTGTACGAGAAACTCAACATATTTTTTTCTGAAAAATATAGAGTTGGATTGATACAGTATATAAACTTGGGATGCTGAAATAAATATTTGGGCTTATTTCTTTTTAAAAAATAAATCAATCAAGTTTGACTTATTCCAATAATATATTTTTTTACCTATTAACATCATGTGTTACCAAAATCATTCACACCAGGTTGTTAGCACACTGGTTTTATGGTAGTACTATCTAAAGAGGAAGACCCTCACTGAGATGGACTGACAAAGGGGAGGCAACAAGGGGCTCAAACAAAAGTTATGAGAATGGCAGTGGATTGTTCTGTTGTTACATAGGGATGCTCTGAGTTGGAACTGATTTGACCCCGCCTTACAACAACAACAACATAATCTACAAGGGAATTTCCGGGGTGGCTGAAGTCTTGTTATGATTGGTTACTAACTTAAAGGTTGTTAGTTCAAACTGTCCCAGCATGACCTTCAAAGAAAGCCCTATTGCGAACATTGCTGTGTGCTGTGGCTTCAGTTCTGACTCATGGCAACCCTATACAGGGTTTCCGAGGCTGTGAATCTTTAGGGGAGCAGAAAGCCTCATCTTTCTCCCGTGGAACAGCTGACCTTGCGGTTGGCAGCCTGATTCGTAACCACTATGCTACCAGAGCTCCTTTCTGCGAAGATTACTACCAAGAAAATCCTATAGGAGTTCTATTCTCCAGCACATGAACTTCTGGTGTGGTGCTGTAGAATCAACACTGAACTACGAACCACAAGATTGGCAGTTCAAACCTACCAGCTGCTCCTCGGAAACCCTATACTGCGTTGCTATAAGTCAGAACCAACTCAATGGTACTTAATGAAAACTCTCCAACACATGTGGTTGCCATGACTTGGAATCAATTCCACAGCAACAGGTGTTTTTATTAAATAATTTATGCTTTAAATAAGCAACGATGTAACCAAATTATTATTTTTTTTAAGGGTCCTATTTTTGAGATATTCCAACATTTTAGATATTCTCTGTTTATTTCATTCAAATACAACAATCTGAAGATTTAAACTCTGAATCCCCCAGAATTGAGAAATTTCAGGCTATGTGACTGATTAAACGCATACATGGCAAACTATTCTTAGCAATCAGGCAGTCACAGTGCAGGCAGTCACAGTGTAGGCAGTCACAGTGTAGGCAGTCACAGTGCAGGTAGTCACAGTGCAGGCAGTCACAGCGCAGGCAGTGGGAAATCCACTGCCCCGAAAAGATCACAAAGCTATTCCTTCTTAGTTCTAATCTCAGGACCTCACTGGTTATTCTCTGTATCTGGTATGAGAGTTTGTCATGGAGCGATAATTACTCTGGGTTAAGGATATTGCTTTCATTTCAGAAGACTGAGCATTAGCTTTATCCTTGTTACCTAAACTCCATTTGTGACATAATTTCCTCAAATAAAAAATACAATAAAGTCACCTCAATATTACTATAGATTTACTTTCTTCTAAATTAGTAACGAGGATTTACTTTCTTCTAAATTTGAAGATTTCTACAGTTAAATTCTACTTCCTGGATTTAAAAACCTGAATTTCATTATATACATCTGATTTTTATTGGAATCCATAAACATAAGGAATGCCTTTCCATACTGGGCAGTGTGTATGTATGTGCGTGTGTGTGTATATATATATATATATATTTCAGTATACGAAATCTTACACATTTCCATCCAACCATTAGGAACCATACAAACTATAAACTGATTTAGAAAAAGGATATGGAGACACTGGAAATTCCAGAATTGAAAGCCAGCTTTATGCTACAATGTCCAAAACCAGAAGGTGAAAACAAAATCCAGTATTTCAATTACTGAATACACATTACTCATATATATACATGACTAGGGAAATGTTACTAAAAACACTATTTTCAAAAGGAGCTCAACAAGGGTTAGTTGGATGGTGGGAACGGTTCCTTTTTCTTATCAATAGTAGCATTTCTGTTCTTACATAGTAATTGTTTTTCAACAAACATACAATTATTTTTTTTCTTTTTTAAATTAGGGGTATATTTCAAAACCATTTCTTTTTATGCTATGAATACTGCATATTAAAGTATGCTTCTCAGCACTTTCTGATTAGAGATAATCAGTGTTTACAGAATTAAATGTCAAGTATGGTATGCCGACTATGGTAAACAAATAATAAAGTTTTAATAGTATAAATTACAAGTTAGGAATACAAATAAATGCTGTAAAAATGTCTCAAGTAACTTATTCAGGAAAAACTCTAAAACTGAATGCTGTATATTCAGCAAATACAATGAACCAAATTCCTAACTAGGAGAAATTTAGATATACATCTACTATATGACTAATGAAGGTTTTTGGACAGACTAAAATTTAAAAATGTTTCTAAGTCCCAGAAACTTAAAAGTACCTGATGGTGCTGGGAATCATCCAAGGTTTTAAAGACCATTGCTACCATCCCGTGTGCTCTCAGGTGCATTCGAAAACTGGGCATGGCACACTTAGTAGCCAAGCTAATAACACTAGGAGGAAACAGACTAAGATTACAAGGCCTGAAAACAAGTGCATTAAAAATTTTAATTTGTGCAATACCAAAATAAACAAATGGAGGAGAGGAAAGATATGTCAAAGCATTTCCTAGACAGGCCACAATTTAAAAGCATGAGCAAACCAAAGCATTACAATTTTACCGATGCCTAGTATAGGATGAGAATCCTGATGTGGCACTAGAGAAAAAGGACTGGGATGTTAATCATAAGGTCCTTGGGAAACCCTCTGCAGGGTCGCTACGGGTCACAACTGACTCAATGGCACTTACCAACAACACTCCACCTAGAAAGGAGGACTACTTCGAGAACAGTTAAAAATTCACCCAGTGGCTCCAGGGGAGAGTGGTATAAAGATTCCCTAGGAGGCACTTTTACGCACATGGGATCACTATGAATCCGAATCTACTCAATAGCATACATAGTGCCTAACGAGCACGCCATGCAGAATCAAGTCAGTTAGAGAAACTGACCAAACTGTAACATATTACAGCTGGCTAGATACTACATCCATGATCATGAATTCACAAGTATTTGATTACTTTGACAATATCCCACTCAGTTGGAAAAATGTAATCATATAAAGCATGCATATACTTACCAAGCATAAAAACAAGATCTTACCTAAGGCAACGTGTGTTTAGAGGCTGAGTGCTCTTTAAGCCACTTAGTAAGTACTCAATGTCATCAGTGAACTCTTGATTTTCACCAAATTCCACCACGTCATTGAAGTGCTTTACATGCTGAACCACCGTGTATAACTGCCAAGAAAAAATAAGTCCAGATCTCTTGAAATAATGAACCAGGACATTCAAGTCCATGAGCCTGTTATACTTTTATCTAAAAGTGTAGAATTTATTAGTTAGAATAGAAAATGTATTTTAAAACATTGGACAAGTAAATTTTAGTTCATGGTTAAAACTGTAAATATCAGTTGAGTGTAATGACATTTGCTCAAGAAATTTAAAGGCTAAACATTAACATACAAAACTGCAGGACAATTGTATTTACTTCTTTGTCTTCTTTTCTGCATTTCAGTGCGGTAACTATTTCTTGGTATGGTTGAGTAGGTATGGTCACAGTCTTTATAACTTTGGGAGGTGGTGCAGGAGCCTTAAAAACTCCATCATCTTTTTGATTTGGTTCCTTTGGAGACAGTCTCACCTATTAATAAAGGTATTAAAATCAGTTATAAAAAACGTATAAAAAGAGTAACATCTATTCTAAGTGGCAAATTTGGCTTTTGTTAAAAACAAGAGAGAGAGAGAGCAGCAAATGACTGTGAAGGGGGAAGGGAACTCTCAAAGGTTGCACAGCGTACATAATACTCCATGTGCCACTGTATAAGACTTTTTATGTTTTCCTCACGAAAGAGCCACTCAGGGATTTACTCTGCTCTTTAAGTCTTTCCTTTTCAGACAGGGTATTTACCTGTTTCCAGAACCACGAGAATGCAAAAAGACCAACAGTGCACATATAAATAGCATCGAGAAACAGCTAAGGATGAGACAGAAAAACTACATCAGAAGCATCAAAGAGTTTTAAAAGCACAAGACTCTGAAATAATTCAGGGTAGAAATAGTCATAAGAGTATAGCGTACCAACCCACATACGCTACTATACTGTACAATGATGATTTTATACTATTAAAATATGTAACATATTCATCACTGTAAGAAGACAGGGCAAAAACTTTTGGGAATAGAGAGTGGAGATGGTTTTGTACAGTATGATGACTATTATTAATGCCACTGGATTGTATAATATTTAAAAATGTAACTTTTTATTATATATACTCTATTACCACATTCAAAAAATAAAAACACAGAATTGAATGTTATGCTTCAATATTACACTTTAAAAAGTATCTCCTAAAAATGCATTCCCTTTAAAGCTCCAGATAACTAATAATGATATCAACAGTCCTCCTCAAGAAAAGAACTTGATAAAAATCTTCAACTAAGCTTTCAAAGAAAAGTCATTATTACTGAAAAGTAGAAGAGGTTCTCCTCTAATAAACAAATCGTGCCCTGAAAGTCAACTTTAGATTTAGGATGTAATTTATAATACAGCTCTTCATGGCAATACACACATCAAATACAGGAAATGCTTGTTGTTAGGTGCCATCAAGTCGGTACCGACTCATAGCAACCCTACGTACAACAAAACAAAGCCACGCCTGAGCCCACTGATGCTGACACTTTGCCAATCCATCTGGCTGGGTGTCTTCAAGTTGACTTGTGCCCCATTAGCAAATGAAGGTCTGCAGGTTTTACTCCCACGCGCTTTACTCCATTTGTGCCATCACAAGTCAAACCTACTTTGAGGAGGCAGCTCTTCCCCAGTTGCATCTTGAGTGACTTCCAACCTGAACAGCTCATTTTCCGGCACTGTCTCTGACAGTGTTTCTCTGCTGTTCATAAGGTTTTCAGTGACTAAATATTTGGAAGTAGTTCATCACTTCTTCTTCCTAGTCTGTCTTCATCTGGAAGCTCATCTGAAACCTGTCCACTATGGGTGACCCTGCTGGTATTTAAAATACCGGTGGGCATAGCTTCCAGAATCACAGCAACTCACAAAGCCACCACAGTACAACAAACTTGACAGACGAGTGGTAGAAAAGCTTACTTGCTCTTAAACACTAAATATAATCGATTCTGCAAAATGTGGATCAAAACTAAAAGAGGGCCAATAAATTAAATAAATTAAAACCAATAAGGTTTTAATTCATCATCTATTAGCATTAGACTTTCTGATATCCTGTTTATAACTTTTACAGTGATTTAAATTGAAGCCATTAAATTTCAGTGAAGAAGGCCAAAACAAAGATTTATTGTAAACACAGTAACTGACTACTTAACTAATGTATAAAACGATGAAAGGCACATGAAATGAAGGTACAATTCACTCACTGTGACAGTCTGAGGTTTTAGTACTGGTGGCCCGGGTAGTTCTTCTGAGTCTGGATGGTTCCAATGTCTGGCATTATATACAGCTTTTGTAGGTGACTAGAGAAATAAGGAAATGATCAACAGTTCCCATCTTACTTTACATCCTTATACAAGTATTTCACTAAATCAATTTAGAATCATACAGAATAACTTAAACATACAAAAATATGAGGGTAAGTGAAAAAATGCTGCTGTTAGAGTTTAAGTTCATACATGAAAGGGCTTATTCCATAACAAAAATGTTTAAACATGTGTTGGATCAATGAATGGTTGCAGACAAGTTCTCTCAATAATTAACGTGTATCACTCCTGGTATGATGCTATAGGGTATGCACTGGGCTGCTAACCATAAGGTCAGCAGTTCAAATCCACTATAGTTGTTCCTTGGAAACCCTACACCGTGTTGTTGAGTTGGAATCGACTCGTCAGCACTTAAAAATAACAGTCTTGTTATAGAGTACTGGTGTGGTGCTGTAGGATAAGCATTGGACTATTCATTGAAAAGTCGGCAGTTCAAACCCACCAGCTATTCCTGAAAAACCCTAAAAAGGGTTGCTATGAACTGGAACCAACTCAAAGGTACTTAACAACAACAACAAATTAACTGAAATAAAGTTTGGTGGCTCCATACAGAAAACAATTAACTGAGAACCAAGAAGTCTGTGGTTTGAGCCCATCAGTAGCTCCGTGGGAGAAAGATGAGGCTTTCTGCTCCCACAAAGATTTAAACCCTTAGAAACTCTATACAGGGTCGGTCACTATGAGTCTGAACAACTCCACGGAACTTAACAATAACATTCACTAACGGGTCAAGAAGCCATGAATATACTTAGTGCTTGGCTCCTGGTTGTCATCATTCCCATTAAGGAAAACCAGGCTTCAGATGTGACAAGACGGACTGGAACACACTGTGCTGTGCCATAAGGTAAGGAAATACTCATATAATGAAGGGCGCACATCACAGAACAAAACAGTCAGCTTGAACAGGCTGCCACTAGCCAAAGAGCACACAAATTAATTAAGTAATGAATTCTAAACCACAGGGAGAGGGGGAAAACATAGAAATTTATGGGTTTATACAAATAAAATATAAACAAACAGGGAGAATGGAGGGATTGTGCTTATAGTATACTGTTGATGGTCAACCAGTGAATTTAATAGAATGTCAAGTTGGAAAAGCACTGCTTTGTAACTAAAGTAGTAAACATTGAGTCAGGCAAGCATCATCATTATTATATCCTCTTACTATATCTAAGTGGATATTCTGATAAAGAGCAGGGTATGTGAACAGTCTTAAACTACCTCCCTAAAGACTGCTGTTGTGATTAGAGGGCAGTAATGATACACTAGAGTAATGGAAGCCACCTTGACAGGCAGCCGTCACTAGTAGCCCTAAACACCACGCTCTCAAAAGGGCATAGCATCACCCACGCAGCATGCTGAACTATAAAGCGGCACCAGGAGCCAATAACAGGAATGCATCGCTAAGACAAAATGAATTTTATTTAATTATTTATTTTTAAGAGTTATGAGGAGATGTCAATGTCACAAAAGATTAAAAAAAAAAAAAAAAAGTGATATACTGGTGGGGAAAAAATATTACTAAAAGTATGAGAGACGAAGTTTGGCCATCTTGGCCTCCAAGGAGCACTCTAGCTGCACTTCTTCCAAAATGGATCTATTGGTTCTTTTGGCAGTCCATGGCATTTTCAGTATTCTCCTCCAACACCGTAACTCAAAGGCATCAATTCTTCTACAGTCTTCCTTATTCACTGTCCAGCTTTCGCATGCATATGAAGCTATTGAAAATACCATGGCTTGGGTCAGGTGTACCTTAGTCCTCAAGCTGACAGCTTTACTCTTCAACGCTTTAAAAAGGTCTTGCGCAGCAGATTTGCCCAATGCAATACGGCGTCGGATCTCTTGACTGCTGCTTCCATGAGTGTTGATAGTTGATCCAAGAAGAATGAAGTTTTTGACAACTTCAATCTTTTCTCCATTGTTAAGAATGCTGTTTATTGGTCCCATGGTGAAGATTTTGGTTTTCTTTACATTAAGATGTAATTCATACCGAAGGCTGTGCTCTTGGATCTTCATCAGTAAATGTTTTAAGTCCTCTTCACTTTCAGCAAGCAAGGTTGTATTATCTGCATATCACAGGTTGTTAATGAGTCTTTCTCCAATCCTGATGCCACATTTTTCTTCGTATAACTCAGTTTCTTGAATTATTTGCTCAGCATACAGGTTGAAAGAATATAACCTTGTTGCACATCTTTCTTAATTTTAAACCATTCAGTGTTCCCATGTTCTGTTCAAATAACTGCCTCTTGGTCCAATTACAGATTCCTCATGAGCACAATTAAGTGTTCCGGAATACTCATACTTCGTCCTGTTGTCCATAGCTTGTCATGACCCACACAATCGCAATTTTGAGTAGTCAGTAAAGCACAGGTAAACATCTTTCTGATATTCTCTGCTTTCAGCCAAGATCCATCAGACATCAGCAATGGTATCTCTTGTTCCACGTCCTCTTCTGTATCTGGTTTGAACCTCTGAAGTTCTCTGTCAATGCATGCTTGCAGCCGTTTCTGTATTACCTTTAGTAAAACTTTATTCGCATGGGGTAGCAAAAAGATTGTCCGATGATTTCTGCATTCTGTTGGGTCACCTCTCTTTGGAATGGGCAAACATACATATCTCCTCCCATCAGTCGGCCAGACAGTTGTCTTCTGAATTTCTTGGCAGAGATGAGTGAGCGCCTCTTGTGCCACCTCACTTTCTTGAAAGATTTCAATTTTTTTCCATCAATTCCTGGTGCCTTGTTCTTTGCCAAGTCCTTCAGTGCTCTTGATCATATGCTACCTCTTGAAACGGCTGAACATTATAATCATTTCCTTTTGGTCCAGTGACTCTGTGTATTCCTTCCATCTTCTCTTGATGCTTCCTGCATCATTCAATTATTTGCCCAAAGAATCCTTCAATAATGAAAGTTGAAGCTTGACTTTTTCTTCAGTTCCCCCAGCTTGAGAAATGCTGAAGGTGTTCTTCCTTTTTGGTTTTCTGATTCCAGATCTTTGTACATTCTGTTATAATAATTGGCTTTATCTTCTCGAGCTGATCTGTGAAGCTTTCCAGATTAGGTAAAATACTATATGGATGTACAACTAACTGGCATTAACCACTTGGCATTTTAAGATAGTTCCATTAAGCAACGACACCAAATGCAGACAGGAGTGAAAGAAATGAAAGCACGCAGGCAATCCTACAATACAAAGTGATGGCGATACCCTTCATTTATAATCTGACATGCAATCACGGTAATAAGCCATTCATTCTTATTGTTTAACACAGTATCTCTTTTGCTGAAAAAGAAGTTAACGCTTAAGTCATATTTAGCCCAAAGTTAGTGACAGATTTCTATTTTTAATAGTCCTTCCTAAAAGCTAAGGGGTCACTGACAACCGTCTCTTGCCTTGGCTTCTAAGAAGTCTACATTGTTTGGGACAGCATATAAAAAACAGTACATATAAATCGATTCCATTATATTTCAACTTAGTATTACAGAATTCTAGAACCAGTCAATTAAAAGAACTGTGCCATAGGGTTTCTAAAGCTGCAACTCTTTATGAAAGCAAATTGCCACAACTTCCTCCCTCAGAACTCACACATGGCTGAAAAAAGTTAATGTTCCCAGGGGGGAGAACTTAGTTAACTTAAGGAGAATCAGGTAAAATATCCAGATATGAGCTCCACGCTAAAGGCTGCTTTCCCAGATAAAATGTGAATCATTCAAGACAAATACCTAGCACCCTACCAAATAAATAAAAAAGGTCTAGTAGCCAATAACAAATTACCCACTATACAAAACATAAAGTATGACCAATAATGAAGAGAAATATCAATCAATAAAAACAAACCCAGCAATGACACATGTGACAGAATTAGTACAAGGTCATTATAACTATACTCCACATGTTCAAGAAGATATGAAAAGACTACATGTTAGGTAGACATGAAAGATATATATGGACTCAAACTGAACTTCTCAATAAAAATTATATTGAATGGTATAAACAGAACTTTAAGGAGTTCTGGTGGTGAGTCGGGCTGCTAACCTCAAGGGTAGCTGTTTGAAACTACTAGCTGTTCCGCGGAAGAAAGATGAGGCTTTCTGCTCCGTAAAGATTGACAGCCTCAGAAACTCTATATAGGGCTACTAAGAGTTGGAACCGACTCCACAGCACACAACTAACCAAACAGAAGCGTCGACACTGTAAAACTAAAAAAATGACAGCAATGAAACAGAAGAAGAAAAAGAAAAGAATGCACAGAATAGGAGTCTAATACTCTGGGACAATTTCATGTGTCCTAATAAACCTACTGTTGTTGTTAAGTGCTACTGACTTGTTTCTGATTCATAATGATCCTGTATATATAGATTCTGAGGCTATAAATCTTTTCAGTAGCAGAATGCCTCATCTTTCACCTGCATAGTGGCTGGTGGGCTCAAACCACCTACCTTTGGATTTGCAGTCTAGCGTTTATCATATAGAGCCACCATGGTAATAAATATTTAACAAAGTAAAAATTAACTAGGACTGTGAAACTCTTCCATGGAGTAACAGATACAGGCTAAATTAAATAACACACAGAGCCAGCTGTAAAGTTACAGGAAACAAGCTGCTCCTAAGGACATGCCATTGTTGCAAAGTATCACAAGAACCTATTTTTTTGAGTGACTATTACATATTTTAGGAGTCCTAGTGTGACGCTGTAGGGTAAGCACTGGACTGCTAACCGCACTACTACTAGTTCACACCCTCAAGCCATTCCCTGGAAATCAATTCAATGGCACTTAACAGAACTACCTTTTTTCTTTAAACTTTTTATTGTGAATTGAGTGAAGGTTATACAAACATGATCATCAATTGTACATTCAACAAAGCATACATTTTGTTTCAGCTCCATGTTTACAATCCCTCCATCAACATAGGTTGTCGTGCCTCCTCTCTGTTGTTCCTATTTGCATCCACTTATCTTCCCATCCCGTCTCAACT